AGCAATCAAAGAAATAAAAAACAGGGTAAACAATATGGACAGTCTATATTTTGACAATGGTTATCAATTTGAGGAATATGAAGATTTTGTTGTCCCTGATGTTGAAGTTTGACTCCTTCTTCCAGAAATTAATGTTTTCTTTTTCTTTTTCAAGATCGGGAAAATCCCATTGATATCAAGAGAATTGACATCTGTATTAAGATTTTTGTTTTTATGGCAATTTTTAGAAATCTTTATTGAATTGTTGCATAGAGTAAGGACAATATTGATCTTAACAGATGGTATCACGTATAGACACTAAAATGATCTTTTGTGAGATAGAAATAAGAAGATGTGGTACGAGTGCCAATGAGACAGCTCTCCATCCAAGTCACAATGTGTAAAAAGTAAACAATTATAGGTCAAGAGAGACCATATAATGACCTCTGATTTTATTTGTGTTGCAGATTTGCTGTCACTTCATAACATAATGCATTCCCATTTTTTAAATTCTTTTAATTGAACTCTTTATTTTTTGCTTTATCTTTATCCTGTTTATTTCATTAAAGTATAACACTGGATCAAATCATATATTTGTACATCAATGATCAAATGAATATATTAAAATACTCTTTCATGTATTTAGTTATAGTTTAAAGAACTTATCTCAAGCAAACTAAAATAGCAATGTGTGTTTGTTTTTACATTTGTGTATGTCTCGTACTTTTTTTTTCTCACTTATACTGGAAAATTTTTATGTGGCTTTTATGCAGTACATATTCAACTTAGAACGTGGTGAGTCAAAAAATCGCTCTTGCTGGTGTTGAGTTCATCACTGTAAAAAATAAGGTGATTTTTGTTGATTTTGAGTGAAAATGACTTTGATTAAATATGCTATCATATAATACATATGCATCTACATACAGTCACTTGTAATCACAAGTATACACTGTAAATATCAAGACCAAAGATTATTTTCCTACAGGCGAATCTTTTTTTTTCAACATAAAATATAGTTAAAACTGAATAAAAAGTTCTGATATGCAGTTCTGTAGCAGTACATGTACATTAATGATAACACACTTTAACACTATTGGTCCCATTACAGCACTGAATTTACAGTATTTATTGCTTAAAACTGCAGATAATCAAATTTTTATAAATTCATTTTGAAATAAGTATTTAAAGAATCAAATACAGAAAGAGTTGTGCCAAAGTTAAATTTATATGCAACTACAATTAATAACATTCGGGTAAATATTGGCATTTTAGCAGTCAATTTTTGGAGTAGACAAAGTTTCAGGACGATGTTCTTTACCAACTATATTATTTACATACCATTTTTATTCTTTCCATATGAAATACCTTTGAACAAAGAATTAGGCTTTTATATTCAAAATTTTGGGGCAGATGAAAATGAAAAATCAGCTAAAATGTATGTACCAAGACACTGAACGATCTTGTTTGGTGCTCGAACAGTCATGAATTTATTAGTGATGAATCTAATAAACAATTTCCTTTCCACATCCTTTCATAAATACTTGTACACTATCTTCTTTGCATTACTAACCTCAATATTCTCAATTAACACACAGGTTATATACTTCAGTGTCTATTTCACAAATAATGAAATCAATTCCTGCGTCTATTTCACTGATATTAACATCCATCCATAAAATAGCATGTTATATACTGTTGTCAATATCAATCATACACTTCACTAAGTCCTTATAATGCTTCCTTCCTATTACAAGTCAGACTTGCAAACAAATATCAACAAATACACAAGATGTACAAAATATTGGTAAAATTTTAAGAATCTTAACAACAATAAATGCTAATTTTATGTAATCCTTTGTAAATTTCCCAAGTATACTGATATCAAAGTGTGGTTTTCACCTGGCCTTCTTACAACAGATGTAATCTTAAACATATTATTTATCAATTTATTTCATGCTCAGAAGGCAAGGGGGTCCACATGGGGATACAGATCATATAAATTTGCAAAAACAAGAATTTGTAAGCCTTGTCCTGCTTGAGATGCATTTCTACAATCATGATATTCCGAAATATTTTCAATGGTTTGATAACTGTGAAAATTGTGACAGAATAGGTATGACAAAAAATACTCACACTTTAAAATTGATTATATATATATATTCTTCGCAGCATTTACTTAAATCAGAATAATTAATCTCAGTTTTGTTCTTTCTCCAAAAAATCACAATATTAAATGCAGGCAAAAATTCTGAATTTACAGTATCTGCAAGCAATTCTTTACAATTTTAACAACTGTTTATGAAGTTAAAATTACTACAAAGATCTGTTTTCAGCTGGCATCATCATGATAAAAAGGAATGTATTGCTCCTTTCCACATTAACATGATTAACTCAGCTTTAAAATGACAAATGTAAAACAATTCCAATAAAATGCTCCGCTGGGGCGCAGCTTGATACGACCGCAGAGGTCGAACCCTGAACAGTTGGGGCAAGTATGGACACAACATTTAAGCTTGATACAGCACTGAATTTGGATTGTAATTAAATATTTGACACAGCATAGGTTTCTGACACAGAATGAAAGTGGTCTAAGAACTTAAAATTTTTTAATTTACCTATTCAAACCATATCATTATTATTTGCTTTTATATATAAATCAGAAATAACCAATTTAAAATGGAAAATTTTAAAGAAAAAAAAAGGAAAAAAAAATCCCCCCCCTAATTTTTTGAAGCCCCTTATGATTCATCACCCCCAAATTCAATCCCAGCTTTCCCTTTGTGGTATGGTACCTTGCAGTACAATTTCAGAGAGATCCATACACTTGAACACAAGTTACATGTGGAAACTAGAAAAATGCTTGTTTTTGGCCCCTTTTTGGCCCCAAATTCCTAAACGTTTAGGGCAATTACCCCCAAACTCAAACCCAGCTTTCCCTTTGTGATATGGAACCTAGCAGTACAATTTCATAAAGATCCATACACTTACACACAAGTTATTGTCCTAAAACTAGAAAAATGCTTGTTTTTTTGCCCTTTTATGGCCCCTAATTACTAAAATTTTGAGGGAATTACCCCCAAAATCAATCCCAGCCTTCCCTTTGTGGTATGGTACCTTGCAGTACAATTTCAGAGATTTCCATACACCTGAACACAAGTTATTGTCTGGAAACTAGAAAAATGCTTATTTTTGGCCCCTTTTTGGCCCCTTATTCCTAAACTTTTTGGGCAATTACCCCCAAACTCAATTCCAGCTTTTGTAGTACAATTTCATAAAGATCCATACACTTACACACAAGTTATTGTCATGAAACTAGAAAAATGCATGTTTTTTGCCCCTTTTTGGACCCTAATTCCTAAAATTATTACCCCTAAAATCAATCCCAGCATTCCCTTTGTGATATGGAACCTTGTTATACAATGTCAGAGAGATCCATACACTTACACACAAGTTATTGTCATGAAACTAGAAAAATGCATGTTTTTTGCCCCTTTTTGGACCCTAATTCCTAAAATTATTACCCCTAAAATCAATCCCAGCATTCCCTTTGTGATATGGAACCTTGCTATACAATGTCAGAGAGATCCATACACTTACACACAAGTTATTGTCATGAAACTAGAAAAATGCTTGTTTTTTGCCCCTTTTTGGCCCCTAATTCCTAAAATTTGGAGGCAATTAACCCCAAAATCAATCCCATGTTCCCTTTGTGATATGGAACCTTGTGGTACAATGTCAGAGAGATCCATACACTTACCCACAAGTTACGTCTGGAAGTTACAAAAATGCTTATTTTTGGCCCCTTTTTGGCCCCTAATTCCTTAACTGTTGGTACCATAACCCCCAAAAATCAATCCCCACCTTCCTTTTGTGGTATTGAACCTTATGGTAAAATTTCATTGAGATCCATTCACTTAAACTAAAGTTAGAGTGCGAAAACTAATGTGTCTTCGGACGACGACGTCGACGCCGTCAAATTTTTTGCGGTCGTATAACAAGAAAACTATGGCCTGATTTATGTGCAAACCAAAATAAAAGAAGAATGTGTCTGAGGACATGAAAACAAAAATTGGACAGACAGACGGTCAAGGGTAACACTTAATGCCCCTGTCGCCTACGGGTGGACATAAAAACGAATAACAAATACACCAACAAAAGACAACCATGTATATTGTGTATCAGATACATCCTAGGGACTACTTTAACTGTGACTACCATGAAATGGATGTTGTCACATTCTGTGGGACTACTTACTTTAACTGTGACTACCATGAAATGAATGTTGTCACATTCTGTGGGACTACTTACTTTAACTGTGACTACCATGAAATGGATGTTTTCACATTCTGTGGGACTACTTACTTTAAGTGTGACTACCATGAAATGGATGTTTTCACATTTTGTGGGACTACTTACTTTAAGTGTGACTACCATGAAATGGATGTTGTCACATTCTGTGGGACTACTTACTTTAAGTGTGACTACCATGAAATGGATGTTGTCACATTCTGTGGGACTACTTACTTTAACTGTGACTACCATGAAATGGATGTTGTCACATTCTGTGGGACTACTTACTTTAACTGTGACTACCATGAAATGAATGTTGTCACATTCTGTGGGACTACTTACTTTAACTGTGACTACCATGAAATGGATGTTTTCACATTCTGTGGGACTACTTACTTTAAGTGTGACTACCATGAAGTGGATGTTGTCACATTCTGTGGGACTACTTACTTTAACTGTGACTACCATGAAATGGATGTTGTCACATTCTGTGGGACTACTTACTTTAAGTGTGACTACCATGAAATGGATGTTGTCACATTCTGTGGGACTACTTACTTTAACTGTGACTACCATGAAATGGATGTTGTCACATTCTGTGGGACTACTTACTTTAACTGTGACTACCATGAAATGGATGTTGTCACATTCTGTGGGACTACTTACTTTAAGTGTGACTACCATGAAATGGATGTTGTCACATTCTGTGGGACTACTAGCCATGTACTTACTTTCACTGTGTCTGTCATGGACCAGATGTTGGTACACATTATGTGGAACCTCTGAAGATCTGAAGTACCATTTGACAGTGGCTACTAATGTGTCTTTCTTGGTCTAAAACAATAAATATACTTTTATGAACATACACAGATTATGTAAATAAGGCATCTGTAGAAGTCCTATCTTAATCACATCCATTTAAAATAGTTGAGATTCATTGAAAGTTTTACTTTTTTCTGCTTTACATTTGTTATAAAGTAAAACCCAAAATGTTGTTGCACATTCTCACAATTTTTTTTACACAGGTTTATTTTTCTTAAAACCATACAACATAGCATAATAATGAACAGATATATCATGTTATGGAGGGGTATTTGCGAAAAATACCAGTCAAGGGACTGTAAAATTTCCCGAGTAGCTAGGCGAGGGAAATTCGGTCCCAAGACTGGTATTTTTCGCAAATACCCCTCCATAACATGATATATCTGTTTTATTACACCGAATAGATTTGGATTGAAACTAATTCATTAACATGATTATGCATAATTTTGAGGATAAGAGGATATTATCATAGAACTGCAGGAATTATACATGTACTAATACCCGTTAGCTCGCTTTTTAATGTAACGTCATATCAGAAAAATTTTGGTGGGAAAATGCTTGAGAGGGTAAAAAAGGAATATCCAAAATGGCAAATACCATGGTATTTGAGGTAAATTCACCGGCGGTGGTGAAAAACAGGCAAATTCGTTTGAAATGAGGAAAAAATATTAGAATATGCGAAAAATACACTGGCTATCAACCAATCAAAATCTGGCTTTCTTATATAAGGTGTAATTACTTTAAAAACAACCTCTGATATGCTTTTATTCAGTATTTTTTACTTATACCTGTGGTTTGTTTTCATCTTTAATTCTGAAATTATAGTGGTAAGTGATTTTTTTTATCTACACTGATTCTTCACTATTTTGTATTCCACTGTGGAAGATTGTGCCATTAGGTATTTCAGAAAAAGATATTTGAATTTCTATGTGACTGCAAATTTATATTAAAAATGTTGTAAAAATTTAAATCATCTTTCAGAAAAGAAATGCTTCAATAATAAATTTTTAAAATCAGTATATAAAACATATCCAAAATTTCTATGTTCAAAGGTGCATAACTCAGGGACATGTCAACTTCATATCTCAAATCTTCCCGTTTAATTCAAAGGTGCATAACTCAGGGACATGTCAACTTCATATCTCAAATTTTCCCATTTAATTCAAAGGTGCATAACTCAGGGACATGTCAACTTCATATCTCAAATCTTCCCATTTAATTCAAAGGTGCATAACTCACAGACATGTCAACTTCATATCTCAAATCTTCCCATTTAATTCAAAGGTGCATAACTCAGGGACATGTCAACTTCATATCTCAAATCTTCCCATTTAATTCAAAGGTGCATAACTCAGGGACATGTCATCTTCATATCTCAAATCTTCCCATTTAATTCAAAGGTGCATAACTCAGGGACATGTCAACTTCATATCTCAAATCTTCCCGTTTAATTCAAAGGGGCATAAATCTGGAATATCTGTCAACGGACCATTAGGTTCTACTAATATATAACACAGTTCTAAAATTGGACTAAGGACTCAAAAGGTACTTCACAAAGATGGACAGACAGACAGACAATGATTCCTATATACATCTAAAAAATTTTATAAATGAAAATATCAACCATTTCTTTTTTAAATTTTGGTCAAGAATCAAATAAGTAACACAACAAACCATCTTTATCTTATTCCAATCTTGTTCATGTTGTTTAGAGAGGACAATTTCTGGTTGGTCATTTTATAAAGAAACTTGTTTTTGTAGCTTATCTGTTGATCTTTCAATGCATTTTTATGGTTGTACCGTATTGTTGAGTTGCTGTCCAATAAAATTTCACCACACATCTCCTTTTATTTAATTTTTTCAGAGCATTTTGTAGTTACTTTATACAAAGAATAACATCATCAGCGTTGTATTGATTGGGTTTTTATTTGTATTGGTAAATCACACTCAGCTCTACAAGTCCTAACTAATGGATCATTTCACAGTGAATTACTATACAGAAGAAAGCTCTCAAACAGCAGAATTGACTTTTTATTGAAGGCTTACGAAATGACTGGGGATTGTATGACAACTTATCAACCATTATCTCATGTAAATATCCCATTCTGGTCAATGATGAGAGAGACGTTTTACCAGGGAAATGAATGTTTGAGACAACAATCAATCAAATGAAGACAATCAGAGTATTAACTACTGATATTTTTCAAGAAAAGGGGAAATTATTCATAAATAGCCAAAGGTGTCCTAGAGATTCCTTAGGCTCCCAGTGGGTATTTAGCAAAGTCCTTGTCTTAAATATCTTTCACATTTTTTTTTTTTTCATTTTTGAAAGGTTTACTGCTCTATGATGTAATAAAAGAAGATTGTGCCCATGGGACACTGATACCCCTTCTTGTAAAAATGCAAGAGTCAATGTATTAATTCAAACATATTCACCATGTTCACGTTTTGTTTTCTTTGAACTAAATGTTGAAACAACAAATTAAGAAATTCTTCAATTTATAAAGGGACATAACTAAAGAACAATGAAAGAGATGCCACCAAAATTTGATCTGTGTTTTATGATAATTAGCATTGTGTTTAAGTTTTTTTAACATTTGGTTGAGGCAAGCTAAAGTTAGATAACTGAAATCAATTTCGGGAAGTATGGACAGATGTACAGATGGACAAGGGTAAACCATCATACTCCCTTTGTCTAGCTGGGGAATAACAAAATCGCAAAAATGTTTTCATTGTGTGTTTTCTAACAAGTTGGCCAGAACAAGACTACAAAGAAACAAAATTCAAACTTGATCTTTATTTTGTGGTAATAAGCATTGTGTATATGTTTCATAAAATTTGGTTGAGGCAAACTTAAGTTAGAGAACAGAAACTAAAAATTTTGCAATTTTTCCATTTATGAAGGGGCATAACACTAGAACGGTTAGAGTGACGCTACCTAAATTCAATCTTGATCTGTATTTTGTGGTAATAAGCATTGTGTATAAGTTTCATAACATTTGGTTGAAGCAAACTTAAGTTAGAGAACGGAAACTAAATATTTTGCAATTTTTTCCATTTATAAAGGGGCATAACTCTAGAACGGTTAAAGTGGCGCCACCAAAATTCAAACTTGATCTGTGTTTTGTGGTAATAAGCATTATGTATAAGTCTCATTGCATTTGGTTGAGGCAAACTTTAGTTAGAGAACGAAAACTAAAAATTTTGGAATTTTTCCATTTATAAAGAGGTTAAAGTGACGCCACCAAAATTCAAATCTGTGTTTTGTGGTAATTAGCATTGTGTATAAGTTTCATAACATTTGGTTAATGCAAACTCAAGTTAGAGAATAGAAACCAATTTTGGGACGTACGGACGTACGTACAGATGGACAAGGGTAAAACTGAATGCCCCCTCCACTGCGGCGGGGGCATAATTACAGTCCCTTATATTTAAAACAACATAAAATTTTGTTGCTATACTATTAATTTAGTTAAGTTTTAGGAATAATATAAGTGACAATAAATTGAATTGTCTGCTTTATAAATAACTGAAATAGATTAACAACTTAAGAAAAAATTGTCAGTTCTCTCTTTGATGCATTGTATGTTGGAAAAGACCCTATCAAGATATTTGGAAAGCATCCACTTGATGTATTCTATTTGAAAAGAAGAGTACACAAGCTGAAATGTCTCACCTGCTTTACTTATCATGATTAAGTTAATGTTGTGAAAGTGTGAAATGACTGTAATACGAAGGTTTTACTATAGTATAAGTTTCAAATGGAATCAATATTATCAATGATCAATTGATATGAGGTCACGGTCAGATAAAACATGCAAGACAGTTGTGTACACCTTACAATGCAATCATACCATACAACAAATATATTTAACCTATTGCTTATGGTATCTGAGAAACCTGACAGCCAGATATGTACACCATACAAATCATTTAATACGTCAAATATAGTTGACCTATTGCTTACAGTATCTGAGATACAGAATTGACCAAGTAAGTTAACCTTGATCCCTGGGCAATAAAAAGAGGTTGAGGTCAGGTAAACCGTGTCTGGCAGACATGTAGACCACATAAAATTTCGCTGAACCATGAAAGTGAGGTCAAGGACAATGGACCAACGGAAACTTCGTAACATAAAGCATCTGTATACAAGGTATGAAGCATTCAGGTCTTCTACCTTCTGAATTATAAGTTTTAAACAGATTGTAATCCCTATGCCTTGCAGAAATAGAGACAGGTGTTTTTGTTTGATGTTTTTCTGCTTTGCATCGATCTGATGAGTTTAGCCTTTTTCAACTGATTTTTATAGGTCGTTCTTCTGTTGTGCTGTTACACCACCGTCCCAGATCAGGGGAGGGTTTAGCGCTCACAAACATGTTTAACTCCACCATCCCAAGTCAGGAGCCTGTAGTTCAGTGGTTGATGTCTGTTATATTTGTTTTTCGTTATACATGACTTATATGTTTTTTTTATAAATAAGGCCGTAAGTTTTCTCAATTGAATTGCAGAATGACTGTACTTGAGATCTAAAACATTAAAAATACCCAAACAGCAAAGGATGTCATTAGAAGTCAGTTAAAGAATTGATCACTAGCTGGTGGCAAGGAATTACTTATACTTGACCTTATCCTGCTTCTGTCAGGAACTGCTACTTTTGACAAAGAAAAAAAATGATTTACATACTAATCATTAGGATTTTATGTCAATAGGTTCATCTCATTCAAGCAAAGAATTAATATTAAAGAGAAAGCTCTCAAAAAGCCAAACTGTATGTTTATCAAAGGCTAATGATAGTTTATCTGCAATTATAGCATATAATAATCTGTTGTATATAATATATCATGTATATATAGTATTTTTTTTCCCCAATTTAAAGAATAAAATATAATAAAATGCTCCGCTGGGCGCAGCTTAATACGACCGCAGAGGTCAAACCCTGAACAGTTGGGGCAAGTATGGACACAACATTCAAGTTTGATACAGCTCTGAATTTGGATTGTGAGTAAATATTTGACACAGCATAGGTTTCTGACACAGAATGAATGTGGTCTAAGAACTTAAAATTTATTAATTTACCTATTATGGTCCAATATCCAAAATCTAAATACATGGTTAGATTCAGCATATCAAAGAACCCCATATATTCAATTTTTGATGAAATCAAACAAAGTTTAATTTAGGACCCTTTTGACCTCAATGTGGACCAATTTGATAACAGGGCCCAAAAATCAAAATACAAGGTTAGATTCAGCATATCAAAGAACCCCATGTATTCATTTTTTGTTGAAATCAAACAAAGTTTAATTTTGGACCCCAACTTGGACTAACTTGAAAACTGGGCCCATAATCAAAAATCTTAACACATGTTTAGATTCAGCATATCAAAGAACCCCAACAATTCAATTTTTGTTAAAATCAAACTAATTTTAATTTTGGACCCTTTGGACCTTAATGTAGACCAATTTAAAAACTGGACCCGAAATTAAAAATCTAAATACACGGTCAGATTCGGTATTACAAATAAATAAATGTGGTCAAAGATTTTACAAATCTAATGCACCATACTGTGCAATTAAAGATTGCTTCTTGAAATTTTTCAATATATTGGAAATTTGAAAAAAAAATAATATTTGAAGAATAATTCTTTTTAATTTCTGAAATCTGAAATGAGAAAAAATTGACCCTCCACAATTTCTTTTTACCCCCCCCCCCCCTTTTTCCCCAAAAAATTCTTTCCCTCAAGATATGGTCATAATCTCAATTCAAATTTCCAATGGAGTTTGCAACCATAATTACCCATTTAAATTAACCATAGTGCTAACTTATCTATTTTATAATAGAATTTAAAATATGGTGTCAAAGCTTTCATATGGATTTTTTGTTAAAAAAAAGATGCAACATTTGCAGAAATTTTTACTGGTCTTCCTTTATAAATGTGCATTTCTTTAAACATATTTTAAAAGCAGTGTAAGGGAAGTAATCAAAACGTTGTATTTGGATTACCTCCCTTACACTGTTTTAAATTGTCTTAATTGTTCATTAACCATTACTTTATACATAATTTAAAAGCAGTGTAAATTAAATATTTGACACAGCATAGGTTTCTGACACAGAATGAATGTGGTCTAAGAACTTTAAAAAATTTTAAGTTACCTATTCAAACCATATCATTATTATTTGCTTTTATATATAAATCAGAAATTACCAATTTAAAAAGGAAAATTTAAAAAAAAAAAAAATCCCTCCCCCAAAATTTTTGAACCCCCTTATGATTCATCACCCCCAAACTCAATCCCAGCCTTCCCTTTGTGGTATGGTACCTTGCAGTACAATTTCAGAGAGATCCATACACTTGAATACAAGTTATTGTCTGGAAACTAGAAAAATGCTTGTTTTTAGGCCCCTTTTTGGCCCCAAATTCCGAAACGTTTAGGGCAATTACCCCGAAACTAAAAAACCCAGGCTAAACTCCTAAAGTTTGCCTTTGAATTTCCTTCTCTATAATCCCATACTTTGTGATATGGAAGCTTGTAGTACAATTTCATAAAGATCCATACACTTACACACAAGTTATTGTCCTGAAACTAGAAAAATGCTTGTTTTCTGCCCCTTTTTGGCCCCTAATTCTTAAAACTTTGAGGCAATTACCCCCAAAATCAATCCCAGCCTTCCCTTTGTGGAATGGTACCTTGCAGTACAATTTCAGAGAGATCCATACACTTGAACACAAGTTTTTGTCTGGAAACTAGAAAAATGCTTATTTTTGGCCCTTTTTGGTCCCTTATTCCTAAACGTTTTGGGCAATTACCCCCAAACTCAATTCCAGCTTTCCCTTTGTGATATGGAACCTTGTAGTACAATTTCAGAAAGATCCATACACTAACACACAAGTTATTATCATGAAACTAGAAAATGCTTGTTTTTTGCCCCCTTTTTCCTAAACGTTTTGGGCAATTACCCCCAAACTCAATTCCAGCTTTTCCTTTGTGATATGGAACCTTGTAGTACAATTTCAGAAAGATCCATACACATACACACAAGTTATTATCATGAAACTAGAAAAATGCTTGTTTTTTGCCCCTTTTTTGGCCCCTTATTCCTAAAATTTTGCAGCAATTACCCCCAAAATCAATCCAAGCATTCCCTTTGTGATATGGAACCTTGTGGTATAATGTCAGAGAGATCCATACACTAACACACAAGTTATGTCTGGAAGTTACAAAAATGCTTATTTTTGGCCCCTTATTCCTTAACTGTTGGTACCATAACCCCCAAAATCAATCCCAACCTTCTTTTTGTGGTATTAAACCTTATGGTAAAATTTCATAGAGATCCATTCACTTAAACTAAAGTTAGAGTGGGAAAACCAATGTGTCTTCCGATTACGACACCAATGTCATACCAATATACGACCACAAAATTTTTTTGCGGTCGTATAAAAAATAACAGTTTGATTTATTTTCAATAAAACATTAATAACAAGGATGTGTCCATAGTACACAGATGCCCCACTCACACTATCTATTTCTATGTTCAGTGGACCGTGAAATTGGGGTCAAAACTCTAATTTGGCATAAAAATTAGAAAGATCATATCATAGGGAACATGTGTACTAAGTTTCAAGTTGACTGGACTTCAACTTCATCAAAAACTACCTTGACCAAAACTTTAACCTAAAGCGGGACAGACAGACGTACGGACGAACAGATCAGAAAACATAATGCCCCTTCTTCTATCGTAGGTGGGGCATAAAAATTGGAAAGGGCTATTGGTCTTCAGGTATTAAATTCCAAGATCCTTAAACAGGGAAAAGGTCTAGGACCTTCAGCCCAAGTATGCATGTATAGTGAGGGCCCCTAGAACTAACAGGGATCTTTTTTTAATTAAGAAGTTTGATTAAAGTATTAAAGACATGTTCAATGAAAATGTAGTTATGGAAAGAATTATATTACCATACAAGTCCACTACACATGACCCCATTTATTATTACACAAATATCATTCAAGTTTCAATACAAACCAGCCAGTTTTAGAGTTTAACTATTCTCTATACTCACCAATCTAAATTCTTTAATACCACAGACATAAAACGGTTGGTCAATATTTGAATTCTCAAGATAAACACAATCTGCAAATAAAGTATAAAATTAGTCTGATTCAAGCACTAATTGGTCATAGGGTAGACCAATTCTTAACTGACACAAAACTCTTTAAAAAGCAATACATCTACAGGCTTAAAACAAGTTATTGATTTACTTAACAGGTATCAGTTATGATGATTTTGACACTATTTATATTATTTCTGGTCATGCATTTTTATAAAAATTTGTTGAAAGACAAGAATTTTCAGTCTTACAATAATTGGATATAAAACATAGAAAGTAGAGAAGGTGGATACTTGGTAGATATTTCTATTCTATAAGAATAATCACAAGTAGTTGATATTTGGTAGATATTTCTATTCTATAAGAATAATCACAAGTAGTTGAAGGCATTGTTGTGTTAAGACCTAAGCATACCCCACCTCATAATTAAAACATCTTAAATCATGGATTAGGTGTCTGACAAATTTGAAAAACGCTTACATGTTGCAACTCATCACTGTCAAGTTGATTATAAAATATGAAAGTCATGCAACATATTTGTTAGCTGAAAGTACAGATATGACCCTTATCCAAATACATTTTTTTTGGTACTATGGGAAGTGAAAAGTTTTGAAATAAGCACTAAAGGCTGTAAAACTGGAAATCTACATTGTACAAACGTAATTACCTCCTTTGCGATATTTAATGCCATCTTCTGTAGTGTACGAGACAATCTTTTCTCCAAGTTTTGTAATGACTCCTGAACACCGCCATCTTGACCCTTTCTTTTGCTTCTTTACTGGGATTGTTATAGCACCATCTGGTGTCGTGATGTCTTCTGTTGTCTGTGAGCTCTCTGGTGATCGATAACCTACACCATTATTTATTAACATGTCTGTTTCATTTCTATCCATCTATTTAAATTTAAAAAAAATTATATTTATACAAAATTTGTAAAGAGTAAACCAAACTACTAATTGGTCTCTATTGCTGGCTGGGAAAAAAAGCAGGGTCCAGCTTAAAAATGTTGGGGCCTTTTCGTTAAAATTATAAACAATAAAGGTTTTGCTTATTTTGAAGACGTAAAGTTTAAGTGATATATAGATATTACATCTACATCATTTTAAAGAATTACCCAAGGATAAAATATATTTCTGGCTGTTCACAAATGTGCTTTTACCAACTCTCATGTGCCTAGGCAAATATATTATTCAGTGTTTAGAAATAAGATCCAGGTGGAAACATAATATATGGATATTCGACTCATTGGAAATCATACCATATCTTCTTATTTCTATGACATAACAAAATGCATATAGTGTTACCCTTTATTTCATGTACACATGTCTTCTGGTTGAACCTTGATATTTCAGTACACCCATGGTGATTCAGTTAAATATCTCTCTTGCTAGTGTTTACTGAATCACTGTGTAAAATGAGCTTGATAGATATAATAAGTATTGGGCAGTATTTATATAACCTATTTCTGGGGATATTGCCATGTATTAGCCATCTTTGGGGGTACTGGCCAGCAGTGGGGATATTGCCCAGTATTAGCCATGTTTTGGGGTACTGGCCAGCCGTGGGGATATTGCCCAGTATTAGCCATGTTTTGGGGTACTGGCCAGCCGTGGGGATATTGCCCAGTATTAGCCATGTTTGGGGATACTGGCCAGCCGTGGATATATTGCCCAGTATTAGCCATGTTTGGGGGGTACTGGCCAGCCATGGGGATATTGCCCAGTATTAGCCATGTTTTTGGGTACTGGCCAGCCATGGGGATATTGCCCAGTATTAGCCATGTTTGGGGGGTACTGGCCAGCCGTGGGGATATTGCCCAGTATTAGCCATGTTTGGGGGGTACTGGCCAGCCATGGGGATATTGCACAGTATTAGCCATGTTTTTGGGTACTGGCCAGCCATGGGGATATTGCCCAGTATTAGCCATGTTTGGGGGGTACTGGCCAGCCGTGGATATATTGCCCAGTATTAGCCATGTTTGGGGGGTACTGGCCAGCCGTGGGGATATTGCCCAGTATTAGCCATGTTTTTGGGTACTGGCCAGCCATGGGGATATTGCCCAGTATTAGCCATGTTTGGGGGGTACTGGCCAGCTGTGGGGATATTGCCCAGTATTAACCATGTTTGGGGGTACTGGCCAGCCATGGGGATATTGCCCTGTATTACCCATGTTTTGGGGTAATGGCCAGCCGTGGGGATATTGCCCAGTATTAGCCATGTTTGGGGGGTACTGGCCAGCCATGGGGATATTGCCCAGTATTACCCATGTTTGGGGGTACTGGCCAGTCATGGGGATATTGCCCAGTATTACCCATGTTTGGGGGTACTGGCCAGTCATGGGGATATTGCCCAGTATTAGCCATGTTTGGGGGTACTGGCCAGCCTTTGGGATTTCCTGCTCTGGTGATAATTTGCCAACCCTGTCATTTGTCACAAAATGTTTTTGTTTTTATAGGTTTATTGGTAGATTCTGCTTTTTTCAATACATGTTTGTTCACTGCTTTCATGTCTTGGACAAGTATTGTCTCTTTTTCAAATAAATGGGGAATGTGTCCATGGGATGATGCCCCCCCCCCTTGCACATAACATTATAAAGGGACATAACTCAGGAACTGTAAAAGTAACGCTACCCAAATGTGAACTTGATCTGAGTTTTGTGGTAATAAGCATTGTTTATAAGTTTCATAACATTTGGTAGAGGCAAACTAAAGTTAGAGAACGGAAATGAAAAATTCAGCAATTTTTCCATTTGTAAAGGGGCATAACTCTAGAATGGTAAAAGTGATGCCACCAAAATTCCAACTTGATCTGTGTTTTGTGGTAATAAGCCTTGTGTATAAGTTTCATAACATTTAGTTGAGGCAAACGTAGGTTAGAGAGCGGAAACAAAAAATTCACCATTTTTTCTATTTGTAAAGGGGCATAACTCTACAATGGTAAAAGTGACACAACCAAAATTCAAACTTGATCTGTGTTTTGTGGTAATAAGCATTGTGTATTAGTTTCATAACATTTGGTTGAAGCAAACTAAAGTTAAGAGAATGGAAACCAATTTTGGGACGTATGTACTTACGTACAGACGCACAAGGGTAAAACTTAATGCCCCTCCGCTATGGCGGGGGCATAAAAAATGTTCTGCCAAGTCACTTAGGACCACCAACATGACCAAGTCACATCAAGTTTACTCTGTGACATCATAAAAAACTTTTGAATTTGCACAATTCTATTTATACAAAACAATTTGTAACAACATAAAATTGATTATTTCAAACATGTTTTACCCTATGTAGTTGAAATAATATACAGAACCAAGCTTTGTAAAGGTTTTTTTTTTCCTGTTCATGTGTTTACGACTTTTCGTACTTGAAGTTCATTTTTCATTGTGTTTCATGCAAATACAAAAATGACTTAATATAGATGAAAAAGCAACATATAGTAGGGCATGTTATTTTGATAGTTATGGTGAGCGAAGGAAGTATGCAGAACTTTAAATATATTTCAAATTTCAGACGGGGCGAGTTTGCAGGTTTTTATAAAAAGGAACATCTTTTTGGGCAAATTGGGGTTAGTATGGGAGAAAGACTAATTCTGTAAAATGTATAATACTTTTCTCATATTATAGGTTGGTGCAGTGTGCAATCGCTGTTATTTTATTGGTGTTGTGAATTATTTTCAGTGGGGGTGAGGCTGTGCAATTGAAATATATATATAAACTCTACATTGATATAAATGTATTATCTGTTTTAAGGTGTTTTAGTATGATTGAACGACTTTCTATAAATGGGGCTATGTGGATTGGTGGAGTGGAGGGAGATTGAATTAATTTTTTTCAACAGTGCAAATTTATTTTTAAAGTGTGGCGGGTGTGTGGGTAGTAGGCTTACAAATGTAGCTATAGGTGCAAGTTGTGGAACGTGACACACATATGGAAAAAAGAAAATATAATTGCTTTTGTCTAGATTTACAGTTTTATTTTCACTTTCAGGTTGTGATTCAACTTTAAGACTTTCAATTTTGGATGAAAATTGCGTTTTACGTAAAAAATTTGTTGTCATGTATTATGTAAGTTTACATCATAACAATATTGTGAGTATTTATGACAATTAAACATTTATTTAGTTTACACAGAGGCTTGTATTTGGGCATAATTTATAATTTTGTATTTATCTCTGCCGGCGTTTGTTTATCATGTTTATATCACATTTATAAACATTGTGATGACATTTCTTGATATACATTTTGTGATTACCTTAAAGAAATACGTATTTCTGCATATTTTCAAATGAATCGTTCAACAATAATAAACAGAAACAAGTGCTTAAATGCTTTCTTTCAACCTAAACAAAGACGTATTTTGTCCTTTCCGCCATGAGTTTCAGCTTCCTGTGGGGCCACAAATTTCTGATGTAAGGGAGGTAATCAGCATAGGTTTCTAACAGAGTTCTCTCCCATGCAACAATTTCTTTTAGAACCACTTTGTTATGCATTCACTCTAAAATGATAACTCTACATGTGGAAAAAAGTCATTCAATTGTTCAATACAGTTTTCAATATATGTCTACTGTTTAATTTTGTAATAAATAAAATAAAAATTTTCTTTTTCACTTTTACAACCAAAAAAATTGATTTTTTTAAAAAATAATTTTCATCAAGAAGCTCGGTAAGATATGCTGTAACTTTAACAGTTTTAGCCTGGCATCCCGGCCCGATCTAGCTGCGCGTGACAAGATTAGCCAGGACCCCAGGCTATAACAGTTTTAACTGTATTCAATCATATCTTCGTTTAAAAATTTTCCTAGGTTTCCAAGAATTCTGCAGTTCAATCTGGGCTTTATCGCCTTCAAAGTTGGCGCTCCCGAGGCAGTATTGTGAATTCAAAACTAGTTTTAAAAACTAAACGTCAACCGCGAATAATTTGTTTAATATGACAGGGTCGAATGGTCTGCGGTAGTTCGCCTTCTGTATCACTAGCCTGTCAACACTGAGGTTGTACGTGAGTTCGAACCCCGCACGTGGCAGCACGGTGCGTTCGTCCGGACTCCAATCTCAGTAATTGACTAGACGTTTCAGTGCTCTTGTTGAAGGTGGTGGTTCTCTCCTGCTCCACCATCAATACAAAAAACGACCGCCACAATACAGTAAATAGTGCTGAAAATGGTGTTCACATTTATCAATTAATAAAACTTTGATATGGCGAAGTCCAAAATTATAAGACGGTAATCACGAAAACGGTAAATACTCTGATGATTAATCATTGTAGACACACACGGACATCGGAGATGAAATGAGTTTAAATATCATTTTTGGTTTGTTGATTTATTTTTGAAAATAGCAAAAAAACAGATGAAAATAGGCCCCATCAGTAGCTTGTATATATTGTGTAGAAGATTGGGTAGTGCGTGATAGACATACTTGGTGACCAGCGATAGTTATGATTTATCCATTAATTCCATTTATCATGCATGTAAATTCATCATAATTGCATTTTTTTACCTGATTACTGTAATGACAACTACTGCACTGTTCGTCAGGAGGACATACAATTGGGTTATTTAATCAACATATGCATAGTTAGATCTAGAAATATTATGAAAATCAAAATCCTGATAATGTGCACACTTTGACATGGGTACAAAATTGCAGCTTGGCCGTTTAAAAGTTCTAGCTTGAAAACTGCATGAGTAGTTGTAATAGTATGGTATCCAATCCAAGCGTTGTGATGACATGAGTAGTTGTAATAGTATGCTATCCAATCCAAGCGTTGTGATGACATGAGTAGTTTTAATAGTATGCTATCCTATCCAAGCGTTGTGATGACATGAGTAGTTTTAACAGTATGCTATCCAATTCAAGCGTTGTGATGACATGAGTAGTTTTAACAGTATGCTATCCAATCCAAGCGTTGTGATGACATGAGTAGTTGTAATAGTATGCTATCCAATCCAAGCGTTGTGATGACATGAGTAGTTTTAATAGTATGCTATCCAATCCAAGCGTTGTGATGACATGAGTAGTTTTAACAGTATGCTATCCAATCCAAGCGTTGTGATGACATGAGTAGTTTTAATAGTATGCTATCCAATCCAAGCGTTGTGATGACATGAGTAGTTGTAATAGTATGGTATCCAATCCAAGCGTTGTGATGACATGAGTAGTTGTAATAGTATGCTATCCAATCCAAGCGTTGTGATGACATGAGTAGTTGTAATAGTAGTTTTAATAGTATGCTATCCAATCCAAGCGTTGTGATGACATGAGTAGTTATAATAGTATGCTATCCAATCCAAGCGTTGTGATGACATGAGTAGTTGTAATAGTATGCTATCCAATCCAAGCGTTGTGATGACATGAGTAGTTGTAACAGTATGCTATCCAATCCAAGCGTTGTGATGACATGAGTAGTTTTAATAGTATGCTATCCAATCCAAGCGTTGTGATGACATGAGTAGTTGTAATAGTATGCTATCCAATCCAAGCGTTGTGATGACATGAGTAGTTGTAATAGTATGGTATCCAATCCAAGCGTTGTGATGACATGAGTAGTTGTAATAGTATGGTATCCAATCCAAGCGTTGTGATGACATGAGTAGTTGTAACAGTATGCTATCCAATCCAAGCGTTGTGATGACATGAGTAGTTGTAATAGTATGCTATCCAATCCAAGCGTTGTGATGACATGAGTAGTTGTAACAGTATGCTATCCAATCCAAGCGTTGTGATGACATGAGTAGTTGTAATAGTATGCTATCCAATCCAAGCGTTGTGATGACATGAGTAGTTGTAATAGTATGCTATCCAATCCAAGCGTTGTGATGACATGAGTAGTTGTAACAGTATGCTATCCAATCCAAGCGTTGTGATGATTTTTGTATGATGCTGGTTACTTTTATAGAAAAAAAATCGTTTATTTAACTGTATCATTACAAGAGAACGATTCCATGAGAACCTTTCCTGCAATTTCTACTAATTTATTGATGTTATAATATACGTGTTGCCACTAAGTATAGAGTTAAGATCTATATTTCCATTAGTTAGGACTAACTGTCTTATAGCTAATTTATAAGCATGTTCGTTACCTAGAGTACCAACAAGAGTTTGTATCCATTCTATGGTGACGTCTATCGTCTAAAAAGCCTTTAATACATAACTATCATATCACGGCAAAAGTTTGGAAGATGTAACCAAAAACACATATTTAGGAAATTAGTTCGCCAACAATAACATCGTATAGCTAAAGATAATAAAGGCTGAGAAGAAATTAAAAAAGACCATACCAGGCTATTGTAAGACCAACCGCATGTTAGATATGAGAGAAGTAGATCTTTCTGCAAGAAGAGTTTCTAGCGGAGTGGATTGATGTGGCATTAGAGCTTTACGGAGACCTAACTACACAGATACAGGCCGTGAATTTAGGAGACATTAGAGTCGCAGATCTTCGGATCAGAAACATCCCATTCCAGAGATTTGTCCGTAAAATCGCTCAAGACCTCAAGACTAGCTGATATTCTTTTGCTGGGTTTGGCCGTCAAGGATATTTAAGGAAGCCAGTGAAGTCTGCCTAGCCGGTTTCATCACGACCTGTTGATTTCAGCCATTTGCAACTGGTTTGTACAGTTTGTTTTTATATTGTGCTGTTAAACCACTATCTCAGGTTGGAGTAGGGTTGGGCGCTCACACACATGTTGAAGCCCACCACATTCTTTATATGCCTGTCCCAAGTCAGGAGCCTGTAATTCAGTGGTTTTCGTTGGTTCACGTATATCATATTTGTTATTTTTCCTAAATTGTTTTGTTATAAATTTGGCCGTTAGTTTTCTCTTTGAATTGTTTCACATTTTTCAAGTCGGGGCCTTTTATAGCTGACTATACAGTACAGGGTTTTCTCATTGTTGCAGGCCGTACAGTGACCTATAATTATACTCATATCTTCGTCATTTGAACTCCGTTGGATATAGTTGTCTCATTGGCAATCATTCCCCATTTTCTTGTTTTTATAATCATGGCAACAGACATCCAGTTGGCCCGAAGAATCCGCGGAGAACGTGCCTTAAATGTGAATAGTATATCGGTTCTCTTCAGGTCCTCCGACTTTAATTTTATCCCACGGAAAAAAGTTCCGTTAGGTATAATGTTTTTGACCCGTCCATCTGTCCTTCCGTTCGTCAGTCCTGTTCTTGTCATCTCAACTCCTCTGAAACCACACAACAGAATTTTTTGAAACTTTGTAGATAATAAGGACATACTATGTAGATGTGCATATCAACAGGAAATTATGATTCAACTTTTTTTCTAGGAGTTAAGCCACTTTGGACTTAGAATTTTGGCCTAAGTATTCTACTGCAACAGTTTGTCATCGCAACTCCTCTGAAATCACACAACAGAATTTTATGAAACTTTGTAAATAATAAGGACATACTATGTAAATTTGCATATCGACAGGAAATTATGATTCAACATTTTTTAAGGAGTTGGGCCACTTTGAACTTAGAATTTTGGCCTAAATATTCTACGGCAACATTTTGTCATTGCAACGCCTCTGAAACTGAACAACAGAATTTTATGAAACTTTGTAGATGATAGGGACATGATATGTATATGTGCATATCCACAAGATTTTATTATCATTTGACTTAAGTAGGAAGTTTGAGCCTTTTAACTAAGGAATCTATAGTGAGATTTTGTTTGCCCTGTGACAATGTGGGGGCGTGGGGTATGTGAGCGTGCTCACAAAGGTTCTTTAATTCTCAAAAGAATCTATTAAATGTTGTACATTAGCTATCCCAATGTAATAGGAAAAATTACTGATCCTAGGTAAAACCGTTTTGTTCTCATATTTCTTCCTCTTTAGGGGACGACCATTTGATATCTCAGCTTTGATTATGATAAAAATTCGTAAGGGTTCCGCGGAACCCAGTGTCTCGCCTACTTTTGCTGTTAATGGCAGGCTCAACAAAAATGAGGAAAAAAATTAATAAAAATATTCCTCTCTATACTATCTTTTGATTGTAAGTAGCTTCTGTCCAAGTTTGGTAAAAATCCAGGATAGTTTATGAATCTAATAAAAGTTTTAAAAACTTAAACTGCAGACTGTATGTAATGTTAAGATAATAGCTTTTAATCATAAACAAGCTTCTGTCCAAGTTTGGTACAAATCCAGGATAGTTTAAGAAAGTTGTTAAAATTTTAAAAACTTTAACCACAGAGTGAATGTAATGTTAACTGGCAGAAAAACTAAGTCCATTTATAAGTAAAATACGGAAAAAATGGAATTTTTTTTTTACGAAATTTACTTCTGGATACTATCTTATGATCATAAACAAGCTTCTTTCCAAGTTTGGTAGAAATCCAGGATAATTTAAGAAAGTTGTTAAAATTTTAAAAACTTTAACCACAG